ACAATTTAGATGAAAGAATGAACATGAGAGATTAGGTAAATATTGCTGCACAACCTAATACTGCAGTTAAATATATGAGTGGGATGAAATTACCAAATTAAAATTAGAAGGTTCATTTAAAATTACCATGACTATTAAAATCCTATTTGTAAGTTAATTAGGATGATATACGAACAGAGATTTATGAAAGAACATGAGAGATTGGGTAAATATTTCCCAAATCTAATACTGCACTTAAATATACTGTATATGCAGGATAAAATTACCAAAGAAAAAAGTAAAGGTTACTTTTAATATCAATGACTATCAATAGTTATACATTAATGAGGATGATTATTAAATTGAGAAAGAGCCAAAACAACTGTGTATTAGTACTGCATATAACGTCCATATGGAACCAATGCATTTCAATTACATTTACATCAATTACATCATTTCAAAATAAAAGCCCGTCTCACATGTCCTCATTTCAACAGTGTAATTTTGCTGTTCATGTTCATCTCCCTCGAGAATAACTTATTTTCATTTTTATTTGTTTTTTTTATTTTTTTGGGGGGAGGCCCTATTGATCTAACTACTTCCTGCATCGGTTGCCATGGCACCTAAACATCACACTCTATTAGTCCACCGCAAACCCCGCTGTTGTTTTCCCTGTCGCACCGCGTCTGTAATGATAAGCGAAAATAATAGAGTTTGAAGGAGCACGCGTGCATGTGGGTTGCCCCCCCCCCCCCCCCCCCCCCCCCCCCTGCTTCTCCCCTCACCCCCACCCAACCCTCACCCTCACCCTCACCCCCACCCTTACGTAAGCTGAAGCCCAGGGCCCCTAAACGTGAATGTAATGATGTAGCAAAGAACTGGAGTCGCTCACACGCGGGAAAGAGAGAGCACATCCTCCAGGCTGCCAGTTAATAGAGAAAGCGCCGACCTGCTGCCTTCTTAGCACCTCAACGCCACCCCCAGCCCCCTACTACACCACCACCCCTCCACCTCCTAACTTTCACCCCCACCTCGACCCACTCATTCAGTGAATGAGAGAGAGAGAGAGAGAGAGAGAGAGAGAGAGTAAACATGTCTCTGTAAATACGCCGTTCATAATGATTTCGTTAATAGCTTTTAGCTGTGACTCCATTACTGCCATTATACGGCAAATACGTCGCCGGTTGACACCGCGACGTATGAAACGCAACAATCCTCCTCGTATTTAGCCACCCTCACCGTCGACTATTAAACGCTCGCCGTAGCGCGACAAACAGGACGCCCCCCCCCCCCCCCCCCCCCCCCGGTACCTCGGGCCGCCGTCGATGATTCACCCCCTGACAACACAGAGGGTTACTAACTAGGGCCCTTGAAGGTGCCAGATGTCAGTGATTAATCTTGATGAAGTTGGGGGCGGTGGGGTCTTATTTCTCCCTTGCTGTCTCTCTCTTGCTCTCTCTCTCTCTTTCTCTCTTTCCCTCCCACCACCAACCTGCTGCTTAATGACCCCCACCACCTCCCTTTAAGCCTTTTGCTCATGTTCAATATGGCCAACTTATTTTTTTGTACGCGGATGAGTGGCTCCTGGGTTGGTTGTGTCGGTTGGCCAGCAACGAGCGGTGTTGCCGCTGGGAAATTAAGGAGAGACAGAGAGACTCATCGCGGTGCCGGAGTTGACTGTATATACCATTGACTGCCACGCCGGATGGATTACATTTCCGGTCCATGGCTTCATTAGCCCTTTATTATTTTCATCTTCGTAATTAAAACCTGGAAAATTGAACACGTGAGGGGCCATGATGGTGACGAAACAGGCGTAGGTAGTGCTCGTGAAGCTGTGATGTAGAGTGAGCTCAAGTGTGGAAAGGGACAATTCAATTCCATACAATAGTCCATTTTATCCAGCAGATATTTAGAAGAGCCTTCAGCTATGTTGAGCTATGTGGGACGTATGCTACTCATCATTGTGATGGCAGTTGGGGAATTGGTAAAAAAGGTATCAATTCACCTTTCCAATCTCATAATGCTTGTACGTGTTGGCAGTGAATTTTGAAACGTTGCATCTTTTAGGCATAAGTACAACACTTAACCAGAAACATTTGCCTTTAATATATTTGAGCCGGGTCACTATGGCGTGCCAATCTTGTTTGTTCTGGGCTTTTTTCCCCCCCGAAACATCTTGAAAACGCCAACCTGCCTTTCACACGATACTGTTTGTGTGTTCGAGGTCCTCTGGCCCTGATTGCTCTGAGATTATTTTGAAACTGACAAGCCAGGCTTTATAAAAACTCTGTTCTGGAAATAAGATATATGATGGACAAGTGAGGCGTACTGACATGCAGTCCTGTGAGGGGAGGGAGCGAACATTTGATTTATTTCGAACCTGAAGGACATGTTGTGTTATACCTGTACTATTTTGTAAAGACACAATTTTACACCATATTGCATTCAACTTTTTTGTTGTAAATCTTTCAAGGTAGTTTTCTATGAGACACTTGCACACACTACACACACACACAGCTCTTCACAGCTCTTAGACATCTTGTGTGTGTGTGCATATGCATGCGCATGAATGGTTTGCCAATGTTATTTCTTGGAACGTGATGGGGGGCAGGATAGTATCATGGCTCAAGTGTTTGACTCTCAGCTGAAAGGTTCTGGGTTTGATCCCAATGTCGGCTGCCTATCTGTAGGCACCCTTGAGCAAGATGCCCTCACAGCAACCTCCTCCCCATAGACCTGTATCTAAATTCACTGTAAGTCGCTCTGGCTAAAAGCTCCCACTAAATGACTAAAACAACACAGACAGTAATAATAGTGAGGTGGTTGACATCTGTATGTACACCGTTACACTAATAAGTGTCCCGGTACTGACTAGCTCAGCTGGCCGTATATATATATTAGTGGTGGGCCGTTATCGGCGTTAACGCGCTGCGATAACGCGAGACTCTTATTGCACGATAAAAAAATTATCGCCGTTAATCTATTGTCAAAGTTGGGTTGGGAGCTGGGTCTATACCGGATTTCCACCAAGGAAGGTAAGCGCTGCGGAACGGCTGCGCTGCAGAACGGCTGCGTCCTCTGCCCGGCGACCCCCCCCCCCCCGTTGGTCGTAGGTCTGGGCAGTGGCGCCTTAATGCACGGGCTTACCTGGGCTTCAGCCCGGGGCCTCGGCCAATCAGGGGCCTCTTAAAAAATATATATTTAAAAAAAAGATGATGAACGTCCCCCCCCCCCGTCAACAATTGCGCACCTCTCCCCCTCTGGTCAACAATCGCGCCCCCCATCAACAATCGCGCACCTCTCCCCCCCCCCCCCCCCCCTCCCATCAACAATCGCGCACCTCTCCCCCTCCGTCGACAATCGTGCAGACTTGTTTTTAGTCATTATTTAGGTAGCACACACATATTATGAATGCCTTCGACAGAATTCAAATGAGCCATTTTAATCTAGATTAATCTAGATTAATTCCAAGATTACAGTTAGATTAATGTAGATTAAACAAATTAATATATGCCCACCACTAAATATATATATATATATATATATATAATATATATATAAATTTATATAATATAAATATATATATATATATAGTGTCACGGCAACAGTGCTACGGAGGTGTGAAAAATAATTAATCAATTGGCTTACTGGCATGTGTTGACAGACAATCTGTTTGGCTGGAGAGTAAGTTACTTAATTACATCTGGGGGCAAACACTGTGCACACGCCACACAATTTAAAGCATGAAAATAACAGATTCAAATCAATATTCACACCCGTACTTTTAACACCGGCGTGAGAATTCACATATGTAAAAAAAAAATACAGATTGAACCAAAATCATAATTACGCCTTATCGGTTTACTGCATTTGCATCAGTTGCCCGGGGCAACAGTTGGCCTGACCTATCAAGTCGAACAGAATGACACCTACTGGGAGTTAAAGGGGGAGAGAGAGTGAGAGCGAGATGCTTCATAGTTGCACACAAGTTCACATTGCGGTACCATCCACGTCGTCTTGTCTCGTGAGCATCAAAACAACCTCAACCGGGGGGGAGGGCTTTCCCCTGTTTGGGTGTATAAGCGTCCACAAAAACCTGTATAGCATTATTCTCCACGTCCTCAAGGTTCCATCGCGCTGAAAAACGGTCGGCACTTTGAAATCATTTCATGTGTGGCACGGCGTCAGCCCGCCTATCTATGCATCATGCATACGTTAACCTGCTTCTATTCCGAGACGGCTGAACTAACATTCATAATTCATGAAAGCATAGCATTGCTGACACTCAGCAAAAGACAAGAATCCTCGAATTTTATGAGTGTCAAAAGGTTCAGTCGTGAAACAGAAAGACGCTCAGAAAATGTACAGGCAGAGTGGGTGTGTCTCATGACAGTTGCTGTTCACACAGAACTTGCTTTACCGAAGTCCTCGGGTTTCAATCCAACCGCTTCATCAGTACAATTTCTACTCCCTGATGCAGTTAACAGCTATATAGTCTAGTGCAGTATTTATTCACCAACTATTTTTGAAACTGACTACCCAAAGTCAAGTTCATCCAAAATGGCAACAGTTTGGCCCCATCTCAATCGTTCTGTTCCTATCGGTGCATTTCAACAAAGCAGAATTTGCAGACCGTCACTGGGAATCGTCTAACTTTCTTCACATATCAATCAATTTCCCATCCAGCATGACAGCTGTATACAGGTCGATAGGGGAGGACTTACATGAGTCCTATAACGCCTGGAACAGGGCTGAGAACATACCAATAACCCTATCAGAATCCGAAACTGTGGTCTCAGTACGTCACGTGAAAAAAAATCACAAGCTTGCCTCCAATATTGTGTTGGAACGAGTTTATTTATTTAAACAGCACCGGTGGGAGAAGAAGGGGGAAGGATGGTGTGATAGTGTGGTTCTTCTGGGTTCATTCCCCAATTAATTCACTGTAAGTTGCTTTGGATAAAAGCGTCTGATGAATGACTAAAGAGTGAAAGTACCAAGGATCAAGGATAGTCCAAGGATTGCCTCGTGGTTAGGGTGTTTGACTCCCAGCCAAAATGTTGTGGGTTCAAACCCACATGTCCACAGTCTACCTGTAGGCATCGTTGAGCAAGATTCCCCGATCCCTTCCCTCTAAATCACCCTCACCCGACACAGAAAATTCCCACGTTCAACGTGCTTTAAAGCAGAGTAACAGGTTTTCTCCCTAACAGGGGTTTAGGGAGCAGTTGATTGGTAGCAGTTGATTGTATAGTAGTCCAACCATGGCTTGTTCGCACAAATTACACAATTATGATTCTTTCTATATACGGTCCTGAGGCTGGGCTGACTAAAAACAATTAGAAGACTAATTAAGACACTTCATTGACTCTGGCGAACCACAGGACGTTGATTTGCTAGTAATCACAGACATGTGTGTGTGACTCTCTCCAACTCTTGCACGCATCACTCCAATTACTGTTGTGCTGGGTTAGGGAGACCATGTACTATAATTATTCCCAAGGTATAACAGTTAGTGTTTTTCCCCAGAAAAATTGTGGTGTAAAAAAAAAAAAAAAAGTTTGTATTAGAGTCAACATTAATCCAAAAATTCACCCAGTCTGCCTATTTGTGCACTTTATTTTCTAGCGTACCAGGAAATATGACACATTTAAAATCGGCACGCTTTGCAGCAGAGAAGAATCTAATTAGAGGGTTCCTACCCACTCATTCATTGTGTGGTCAAATACACTCAATCATCTTGGAAATGAAAATGAAAATGCAATGTTTCCGTCACAACATACTAAATTAATTGTGAAGTGATGATTTTCCCACTGATCAAAACATGCATGGGAAACGCGTTGCAGAATTAAACAGAAATTAATAAACTGTCCGCATCCCGCCATAGAGACAAGGTATACGGCGGCTAGCCTAGACGCCTATCCGACGACAGACACTTCTTTAGCACTTCTCTAAAAGTGTGTCCAATGCGAACGGCGTTTAAACTGTTTTGACTTGACGGTGAAGTTATTGTCACGGGGTTGGCTCCTGTTTAACTATTAAATCCTATTCCCAATTCTGACACGATGCTCCTCCATGAAGAAAATGGCTGCCAGATTTTTTTTTCTGAAATGTCAACGACGTAGCCCTCTAACTCTTGCACATCCACAAAAACCATATTCATTCACGCTTTAACTGACAAACCCACCGATACTCCTATTAGCTTCTGTTTCTCTCTGCAAGTGCAGCAGGAGCACGTAGTTATACAAGTGCAACTGCTTCTCTTTCTGATTTAATTCACAGTGGAGACTGCAGTAACCTCCCCCCTCTCTCTCTCTCTCTCTCTCTCTCTCCCTCGTCTCGGTAAGATGGAAAGACTCGGTGATAAACACAGCAGAGGAAACTGTGGCAGTGACTGCAATGAAACACACACACTCACGTCACTCATGTCACTCACACACACACACACACACACACACACTAGCACCAGGGGTCCACCAGCAAAGCGGGTGCACAGAAAACTACCAACTTTCCAAACTTATGAGGCGCCTGCTCACTGCACACTGGGTGACCAGCACTGTCAGCCAATCGTCTCCCGCCGTGCGGCACAGAGTCCCAGGAAGTCGTTAGGGTATTGTCCTTAATGAACAAAACCAACCCGGTGCTGTCCTGTCCTGTCTGACCACTCCGCTTCGGTTCTCGCTCTCTTGCCTCCTTTTGATTGGGATGATTGGGAATTAAATCTCCTACCCACCCCCCCCCCACTTCCTCCTCCTTCCTAACCCCCCCCCCCCCCCCCCCCCCAATGTCATTCCTCCTCTCGCCCTAATCCCCCCCCCTCTCTCTCTCACTCCCTCTCTCTCTCTCTTTCGCTGTGTCTCTCTCTATGCTTGTCCCTTTTCCCTCTATGGCACCGGATGTTTTAAACATTGACAGGAGCGGTAGTAATGCTGGATGAGTCGAGACGCGGTGGCTGTGGGTAGAGAGGAGGAGAGGGTGTGTGTGTGTGTGTGTGTGTGTGGGGGGGGGGGGGGGTAACCACGGTGTAGACAGCCCCCCCAACCCACCACCTCTCTGCTGGGTTGGGTGCTGTAATTGGTGGGCTGCTGCTACACCATCTGACAGATTGTTCAGTACCTCTCCTCCTTGCACACACTCACACTTGCAGAGAAGTACCATAACTAGGCTTTGGGTGAAAGTGATGTGGACACGTTTAAAAAAAAACCTATATATATATATATATATATATATATATATATATATATATATATATATATATATATAATCTCCAACACAGTCTGCAGGTGGGTAGGTCCTGTTGGATTATTTCTTGGTACATTTTGCGCAGTATCAGTAGTGTCGCAGTGTCTTCACATATGGCATACCAACACAACTTGTATTATTAGGCATTCGAGCTGACAATCCCAATCATGAAGGTGTTTCAATGCAGACTGTTTTCTGATTCAGAAGGTGTTCTGTTTCAAAACCTAGTCCATTTATTTAAGCTTAAGGTGTATGGCCGTGAAGATATACAGAAACCTTACAGGGAAAACGTTGATAAGGTGGCAGCCGTGGAACAGAATTCATCCATCAAAAACAAAGAAAAAACCCACTCTTATTGTTCACTTAGCAAGACTAAATTAATTTAGTGATTTTACTGACATCTTATTGTTCCTATGATTTATGAGCTAATCCGAGTGGTCAATAAGAGTCATTAAAACCAAATGGCAAGAGATACTAGTTTCTGTGCTCTATGGGCTCTATGGTCTATTGTTTCAAGCCATGGCCTGAATGTGCAAAGAGGACACAAACATATTGTGTATGTGGCTAACTATTGATGCATTTTATGACACTTTAATCCGAAGCGACAAGCCTTTTAGCAGGGAGTCGAACACAGCCACTACACTAACCTGCCTGGATTCGTTTTACAAGGTATTTTACAAATGTAGAATAGTAGTGGGTTCCAACCACAATGTCCACAGTCCACCAGTCAGCATCCTTGAGCAAGATACCTAAACGCCTTACCTGCTTGACAATGTCAAGTATCTAAAACAAACATTCACTTGTCATTAAGTTGCTTTGGATAAAAGCTACTAAATATTAAACAGGCAGCAGAAATTACAATACAAATAAAATAACATCTTACAGTACAGGGAAGCAAGTAGATGAAAATAATTTTTCTACATTTTAATGTGAGGCTTTAATACACTATATATCTTACCAACTGAATGAATAGGGTATTGTCATTGTTTATCAAAAGTCCCTACAGATAAAAAAAAAAAAAAAAAAAAATGTGTTTGGATGCAAATTCCATGGAAAAATATTTATTTGATAAACAGTTTGTTTACCTAACAGAAGTGGTCACAGAAAACTGGCATTTCAGAAAGCAATAAGGATAGGACTGCTGAGGCGACAGTCACTCAGATATTGCCTCAGCTGCCGGGTATCTGTCAATCACTTAGCATGTAGGGATCAGGTCCCAGACTCAAATGCAGACACAAAGGTTTAAACAAAAAAAAAAAGGTATTAACTTAAATTCTTCAAGACAAAAAAATTAACAAAGAGCCAAAAAACTGGCAGATTTCTCTAAAGTAAATCAATAAAGGTGATCAATAACTAAGACACTTACTATACTGGGCTAACTAGAGGACAGGACAGGACGATCAGACAAAGGGCAAACAAAACTGAGGGCTGGAGGGAATAATTAACAAGCAACACAGGTGGGACACAATCAAGTCTAATGAGGGAAAAGAAAAAGAATAACTGAGGAAGAAACAAGGGGAAGAAACAAAAACAACACAAAGACAAACAATTCAAACTGTGACAGAACCCCCCCCCCCCCAAGGAGCTCCTCGTGGTGTCCCATCTGGTTGGTCAGGATGTTCTTTGTGGAAGTCTTGGATGAGTGTGGGGTTCAAAACATCTCTGGCGAGAACCCAGCTCCTCTCCTCAGGGCCAAAGCCCTCCCAGTCCACCAGGTATTGCCGACCTCTGCCGTGACGACGAACCCTCAGGAGTCTCTTGACAGTGTAGGTCTGTTGTCCATCTACCAGCCGGGGGGAAGTGGGGGTTTAGGATAGAAGGTGACAGGCTTTATTTGGGAGATGGGGATGGATGCGTGGGATAGATGCATAGGGTGCGTGGAAGCTGGAGCCGGGCAGGAGAGGGGTCGATTACTTTGATCATGGGGAAATGGACCAATGAATCGGGGGGGGGGCCAACTTGCGGGACTCGACATAGAGACAAATATCACGTGTAGACAACCATACCTTCTGGCCGATGACGATCCGCCTGTTGTTGATACCTGGAGGTGGTGCGAAGCAGGTTGTCGGCACAGACAAATTAACTCCTGGACAGACGGTATGTTGACCTCTTCCTCCTGGTCTGGAAACAAGGGGGGCTGGTAACCGATGAAGCACTGGAAAGAAGACAGGCTGGAGGCAAAACTCTGGAGAGTGTTGCAGGCATATTCCACCCACACTAACTGTTGGCTCCATGTGGTGGGATGACTGAAGATGAGAAAACGCAGGGCAGTCTCCAGGTCCTGGTTGTCACGCTCTGTTTGCCCGTTGGTCTGGGGGGTGGAAACCAGATGATAAGCTGACCAATGTACCAAGGCCCCTCCAAAACTGAGAGGAGAACTGAGGGCCACGGTCAGAAACAATGTCAACAATGGGAATGCGGAAAACATGTTGAATCATGATGTGTGCTGAGGGATGTTTGGGCAGGGGAATGAAATGGGCTGCTTTGGAAAAATGGTCGACAACAGTCCGACATAATGACTGAGTTGCCATCAGAGGGAGGGAGGCCAGTAACAAGGTCTATGGAGATGTGGGACCAAGGGCGATGTGGGACCAGTCGGAGTTGCAGCAGACCAGATGGGGCTTGGCGGGTTTTTTTTATTTTGGTGGCTGAAAAACAAAGAAACAGGTGTTCTTCGCCATAGAGGGCCAGCAGAACTGCTGGCGTAGGAAGGTCAGAGTGCAGTCTACCCCAGGATGAATGGGAAAGTCCTACCCCCTGGCAGTATTAGCACTAAGACTATGTCTAAATAGAGGTTACAATTAAGAAAGGGAAGAAATTATGATGGAACCAAACTTAACAAA